CAGAGATGCTATGAGTCAGAACCGACTCAGAAGCCCCTAATAACACCAACTTTTTGTTTTGCCAATTACTTTCATGAACAAACAAACAAAACCAAACCCGCAACTATAACTACTACCTAATTCCACAAAAGGAGCATTTAATATTAAAAAAGCAAGTGGGGCAATATCTAAATAAAGGACACAATGGGAAACCCAACAATCTCACTTTAATATTGGACCAGTCTACATTTGGAAACCAATAACTTACAGATTACAATCAGTATCTTTCCAAGGTACACCAGTTCTTTACTAATCAGTCTTTGCCTACTGTCATCATTCTTCCATTTAAAGCACAGTATTTATTCTTCCCTATTTATGGTCCTTACAATTCCCTACACATTTACCAATACTTTTCTTCTCCCTGGGATGGCCATTACACAAAGTACTCTTTTGATAAATTTCTATTCTTCCTTCTAACTTACTGTCTTAAACTCAGTACCTCTCTCCTCAGAGATGTGTCTGTAAAATCCAAAAGCAAGCCCATTGCCATGTTGATTATGACTCACAGTAACCCTGTAATAGAGTAGAACTATAACAGGATAGAGCAGAACTGCCTATAGGGCTTCTAAGGGTACAAATTTGTATGGAAGCAGACAATCACATCTTTCTTCTATGACACAGCTAGTGGGTTCACATAGCTGACCTTTGGATTGCTAGCTGAGAGCTGAACCACTACACCATCAGATTCCTCAGTTATGCCTTCTCTGCTGTTTTTGTTAGGTACCAATAAGTTGGTTCTGACTCACAACAACCCTATGCATAACAGGGTTTTGTGCCATCCTCACAATTTTTGCTATCCTTGAGCCCATTGCTGACATTCATGTTTTTATCTTTTGACAGTACATCTGACAATATTCTGTTGCTATTCAGTAAACATTCAGAAGTCCTCTGCTCCTTCTTTCTAGTCTGTTTTAGTTTGTAAGTTCCACTGAAACCTGTTAATTATGGGTGATCTTGCTGGCATTTCAGATACTGGTGGTACAGCTTTCAGTATCACAGCAATATACAAGTCACCGTAGTACAAGAAACTGAGAGACAAGTGGTAGATGCCTTCTAAAGGTAAATTTAATTTGTTAACTTTTCCTGGTTCACACTACACTTTCTACATTGTACCATTATAACAAACAACAAATATTACAGTATTTAACCATTTTCCATGAATGATTTCTCTTTTGCATGTTTTCCTTGAGGATAAAAACGTTGTCATTTCATCTTTATACACTTAAGCTCTAGGAATTTGCCTAGGAATCATAGATGCTTAACACAGAATAAAATACACCTTGTTTCTAAATGCTTTCTTTCATTAAAAGTAAAAGGAGTGTCTTGTTCATGGCCATACTGATAATCAATGTAATCAGAACTAAATTACAAGGGGGATTCAAAAAGTTCGTAGAAAAATTCTATTATCTTTTAAATCCATTTTTCCATGAGCTTTTTTAATCTCTCTAGTAAAACTGGTCATATTAATGTCAATACAAATTATGAAGGAGCTCTGCATAGCAAAAAACTAAAAATAAAACATGAGCCAATAGGAACTATACCTGAACCATGTTTTTTATAAACTTCAGTCATATGTAAAATGAACTATGACCACTCATTAACTGTAATATCTCATTTAATATGTTTTAGAAAAGGATACTAATTTTGCATATGCAAAAATCCTGACAGTATGGCAACTTTCCAATATGGATTCTAAAACTTTAACATGCATTTAACATTTAAAATTCCTTACTACTAGATGAAATTGCTAGCTACTTACCTGAAAGACTGTGAAGCCAAGGTAATATTCAATAAGAATGCAACCTATGCTCCAGACGTCACATGGCTGAGACCAACCTAAAGCTATTTTAAAACAAAAACAACCATTTATTACACCACAATTTTTAATCACCAAGACAAAATTCTTCCTTATCTTAGTGATTCCTTTACATAGCCTATGTGGAAAACATAATAGTAAATTCAGGTTTTACATTTTATTTTATATAACACCTTATACAGTTATGCTTGTCCATGTATCACTAAGTAGCATTTTACATTGGGGAACAGACGAGTGATAGAGCAGAGCTTCCAGCAACACACTAGTCACCACAGTATGACAACTGGCAGTGGAGACTTGTGTGTTGCTGTGAGGCTGGAAGCTATGCTACTGGTATTTCTAGTGCTAGCACAGTCATCCATGGTGGAAGTTTCAGCGGACTTCTAGACTAAGACAGAGTAGGAAGAGAGAGAGGCAGACTATATCTGACTGTTTAGTCCCTGGAAATCTTATGAATAGCAGCAGAACTTTGTCAGCTATAGTGTTGGAAAATATGATACTCAGGTTGGAAGGCACTCAAAATATAACTGAGAAAAAGGCCTCCTAAAAACAGAGTGGAATAAAACCTTTAGGACCTTCATTTGCTCATGGGCACAACTCAAAATGAGGAGTAACAGCTGCAAACATCCAACTATAATCAACACGTGGAATGTATGTATGAAGTATGAATCTATAAAAACTATCAAGTTTTCAAAAATGAAATTGAACGCATTAAGATTGTTATCCTAGACAGTAGTGAGATGAACTAGACTAGAACTGGCCATTTTGAATCTGACAATCATATGGTTTACTATGCCAGGAACAATTAATGGTATCACATTCACTGTAGAAAGAAAAATTCAAGATCCTAAAGTACAATATTGTTTGTGATAGGACAATATCTATGTGCCTATATAAGGAAGATCATTATTGTAGACCATTATTCAAATTTACACACCAGCCACTCAAGCCAGTGATGGTGAAATTAAAAATTTGTGCCAACTTCCTCAATCTGAAAGTTATCAAATACACAATCAAGATGCATTGATATTACTGGTGATGGGAATGCAAAAGTTAGAAACAAAGAAGGATCAGTAATTGGAAAATTGGTAATGGTAATAGAAACGATGCTGGAAATCTCATAATAGAATTTTTCAAAATCAATGACTTCTTCATTGCAAATACCTTTTTAAACAATATAAAAGACTACTATACACAAGGATCTATCAGATGGAATACATCGAAATCAAATTGACTACATCTGTGGGAAGAGATGGTAGAAAAGCTCTATATATCATCAGCCAAAACAAGGCCAGGGCAGACTGTGGAACAAACCATCAAATGCTCAAATGCAAGTTTAGACTGAAGCTAAAGAAAATTAAGACAAACCATGAGAGCCAAAATATGATCTTGAACATATTCCACCTAAATTTAGAGACCATCTCAAGAACAGATTTTGATGCATTAGACACTAAAGACCAAACACCAGGAGAGTTGTGGGAAGAACATCATACAAGAAGAAAATGTCAGGTCATTAAAAATACAGAAAAGAAGCAACAAATATGAATGTCAGAAGAGACTCTGAAACTTGCTCTTGAGCACAGAGATGCTAAAGTAAATGGAAGAAATGAGGAAGTCAAAGAGCTGAACAGAAAATTTCACAGGCAGCTCAAAAAGACAAAATCAACTATTAGAATGGAATATACAAAAACCTGTAGTTAGAAAACCAAAAAGGAAGAACATTCTCAGCATTTCTCAAGCTCAAAGAACTGAAGAAATAATTCAAGCCTTGACTTATAATATTGAAGGATTCTGTGGGCAAAATATTGGATGCAGAAAACATTAAAAGAAGATGGAAGGAATATAGTCACTGTATCAAAAAGAAACGGTCAGTGTTCAACCATTTCAAGAAATATATATAATCAAGAACCAATGGCACTAACAGGAGAAGTTCAAGCTGCATTGACGGCATTGGCAAAAAACAAGGCTCCAGGAATTGATGAAGTACAAATTGAAATCTTTCAACAAACTAATACAGCACTTGAGGCGCTTACTTATGTATGCAAAGAATTTTGGAAGACAGCTACCTTACAAAGAGATTGGAAGAGATCCATATGTGTGCCCACTCCAAAGAGAGGTAACCTAATACAGAAATATCAACAATATCACCTGGAAGTAAACTTTTGCTGAAAATAATTAAAAAATGGTTGCAATGGTACATGGACAGAGAATTGCCAGAAATTCAAGCCAGATTCACAGAGGATGCGGAATGAGGGATATCAATGCTGATGTCCGCTGGATCTTGGCTGAAAGCAGAGAATACCAGAAAGATGTTTACTTGTGCTCTGTTGACTATGCAAAGGCTTTCAATTGTGTTAAGTGCTTTCTAGTTGGTTCTGACTCACAGCGACTCTGTACAGGTTTTTTGAGGAGCGGCTGGTGGGTTTGAACTGCTGACTTCATGGTTAACAGTCCAGTGCTTATCCTACAGCACCACACCAGGACTCTTTCAACTGTGTAGATTATAACAAACTACAGATAACACTACGAAGAACAGGCATTCCAGAACATTTAATTGTGCTCATAAGGAACCTGTACATAGACCAAGAGGCAGTTGTTAGAACAGAAAAAGGGGATACTTAATAGTTTAAAAACAGGAAAGGTTGTGCCATGGTTGTATCCTTTCATCATAGTTAATCTGTATGTTGAGCAAATAATCTGAGAAGCTATATTATATGAAGAAGACTATGGCATCAGGATTGGAGGGTGACTCATGAACAACTTTGCTTGCTGAAAGCAAAAAGGACTTAAAATACTGATGAAGATCAAAGACAACAGCCTTCAGTATGGATTGCATCTCAAGACAAGGAAAATAAAAATCCTCACCACTGGACTAATAAATAACATCATAATAAATGGAGAAAAGATTAAAGTTGTCAAAGACTTCATTTTGCTTGGGTATACAATCAACAATACTCAGGGAAACAGCAGTCAAGAAATCAAAAGACATATTGCCTTAGGCAAATCTGTTGCACAAGACAATTTTAAGATGTTCAAGAACAAAGATATCAGTATGAGGATTAAGATGCACCTGACCCAAAACATGGTATTTTCAATTGCCTCATATGTTATGTGAAAGTTGGACACTGAATAAGGCAGACTATAAAAGAACTGATGCATTATGGTGTTGGAGAAGAATATTACAAGTACCATGGATTGGCAGAACAAACAAATCTGTGTTAGAAGAAATATCAGGAGGAACCAGTCCCCATCATTTGCTTTCTCCCAGCAAAAAGGAGGAAGACCCCAACAGAATGATTGACATTGTGGCAGCAGCAATGGACTTAAATGTAACAATTGTGAGTATGTCACAGGAATGAACAGTATTTTGTTCTTGTGGATAAGGCCACTGTGAGTTGGAACCAATTTGATGGTACCTAACAACCTCGGGAAAGGGATATTTTAATATAAAAGAAAAAAGTGATTCATAAACATTTTCCATTTTCAAATTTGTGCACATCACCTAAAGTCCCTCAACTACTCATGAAATGGACAGCATTGCTGTTGGAACTGTTACCTCAACTCATAACTGCTTTAGGAATTTTATATTTTATTAATCACTTTCAGAATATAATTAATTACTAATCCCCTATTAATGATCACTAACTTGATGCCTGACTTTGCTTCAATAAAAACAAACAAAAAACATAGTAATTTCACAAAAATTAGGTAAGAATTATATGGAGTTTCACCTGTGAGTAGAAACTATAAAGCCATTTTTCACACAGAGAAGAACCTAGAGACGTACTTTCATTATCTATGCTTCATCTCATAATTTTCCCTTCAGAATTCTCAGTGGAAATATTATCCAGGGAAGTCAGAAACAGCTAATTTTCTAAAATCTATACTTAATTGCACAAATGTTTCAATCTTATGAAGATCAAATATTTAGTAATTATAAATAAAACAATAAAGTACAAATAAAACCTACTTAAAAAGATATTCCATTACTTTCAATAACATTGATGACTCTAAAGGTAAAGGAATAAATAACATATATTCAAGGGCCTTGACAATGAATGTCATTTTTATAAATATCTAACTGCTTATTTGAACAAATAACAAATGGTTAATGATGGAAAATAATTTCTACTCATAGCAATTCATACAAAATCTGCAAATGTTAGGTGTACCTCAGATAAACATTTTCTTCTCTAACTAATCCTAGTCTACTGTTCCCCCATCTTCTGAGGCACACAATTTTGAATCATCCTATTCTCTGAGGAATCAGCTTTCATTTTGCTCTGTCTTTGGAGTTCTATACCTTTCACTTAATTCTGTTTACTACAAGCATCCAAGACAGTATAGCACCTGCTTTCATTTTCCTCTCCAACCTAATCCTGCCTGAGTCCTCAGAGGGCTCTTTGAATATTGAACTCTCATGATTCCATTTCATCAAGCTAGTAACCCCAATTTCAGATTTATATCAACAATGCCTTGACTGGCCACACTTGGAACCTATTAAACAGTTTGTACTCAATTACTAACCACCCAGCAGTGCCATGGAAGAAAGGCCTGGTATCTGATGCAAATGTTACAGCCATGAAAGCCCCATGGATTAGTTCTACCCTATAATACACGTGGCAGCTGTGAGTCAGAACTGACTCAATAGCAACGGGTTGATCCACACTGTTGTTGTTGTAACGTGCCATGGAGTCGGTTCCGACTCATAGTAACCCTGTACAGGGTTTGAGGCATGGGAGCAGAACGCCTCAGCTTTCTCCTGTGGAACAGCTGGTAGTTTTGAATTGCTGACCCTGAGGTTCACAGCCCGATTCGTAACCACTACGCTACCAGAGCTCCTGATGTAAATGTTACAGCCAAGAAAGCCCCATGGATTACTTCTACTCTATATAACATGTGTGGCAGCTGTGAGTCGGAAATGTCTCAACAGCAACGGGTTGACCCACACTAAGAGGTCATTATCTGTAACATATCACTGCTTTATGTACTAGTAACAGTCATTTGTCTCAACTTGAGATACTAAAATGTGGAGGGTGGGAATTTGCATCTGAAAATTGATAAAACACAGTAATTTATTGGCTTTTAATTTCTGAAACACATCTTTCTGTCTACAAATCTTTGTCTATACTTCTATTTTGGGGCTTCATTGTATGAAGTTCCTCACCAAGACCATCCTTTCTAAACTATTACAGCACAGCAGCTCTTTTGTGGACTTACTAATAAGCAGGTATCTTATAATCCATTTCACAGACAAGCACTAAAGCTGGGCTGTCCAATATAATAGCCACTAACTACATGTGTGGAGTCCTGGTGTGGCGCTGTGGGCTAATGCGTCAGACTACAAAGTCATGTGAACTGCAAGGTCAGTGGTTCAAGCTCACCATTTGCTCCATGGAAACCCTATACAGGGTCGCTATGGATCGGAATCAACTCGATGGCACTTAACAACAACAACATCTACATGTGACTACTTAAATTAAAAATTGAATCAAATAGAAATTCAGCTCCTCAGTAATATTAGTCAATTACAAGTATTCAAAGGTATATTAGGGATCTTCAAAAAGTCTGTGGAAAAAATTCATTATCATTTTAATTCCATGTTTCCATGAATTTTTTGAAGTATCTTCACGTATGACTAATGGTTACCACATCAAACAGTGCACTTATAGAGCATTTTCAGCATCACAGAAAGTTCTATTGGTCAGTGCTGTTTAACATTCTCAGTTTCCTTACTACTTTCCTGATCCTCTACTCTAAACAAGCAGTACTAGCAGTTTGCTTTTCCTGGACTCCTGGTGTGGTGCTATAGGATAATACTAGACTGTAAACCACATGGTAAGCTGTTCAAACCCTCTACAATGCTCCTTGGAAATCCTATACAGGGTCACCATAAGTCAGAATTGACTAGGCACTTTACAATGAAAGCAAGTTTGCCTTCCCACTCTATTCTGCTGGACTACCAAGCAACTGATTCCACAAAAATATTCTACGCAACCTCAGCCATACTTTTGGCTAATTATACTTTTCATTTCACTTAACTATCTTCCAATAATACCTAATCTGAACTTTCCCACTGTCTTTAAGCCCCCAACCCCATCCTTGACTTAGTCTAACTTTTTAATTTTGAGGTATAACATTCACTCTTACTTCATATTCTGAACCTTAATTGGCTATCATGACAAGGGCAACCACAGAAACACTTCTTAGACTAACCTCTCGTTCTCCAAATTAACCTCTATGTACCCTACAGTCCTGGTGTGGTGCTGTGGGTTAATGCACCAGACTGCAAAGCCGTTTGAACTGCAAGGTTGGTGGTTCACGTTCACCAGCTGCTCCTCAGAAACCCTATATAGGGTCAGTATGGGTCAGAACTGATTCAACGGCACTTTACAACAACAATAAAATAACCCTTCACCTGCACCTGCACCTTCACCTGCATCATACCTTTGTGATGACAAGCAAAATAGGTTTTAAAGTCATAATGCTGGTTTCTTAATACTATTTTAGGTTAGGAACCACCATCCATCTAGAATATTTTTCAGAGTTGGTATTGTTGTTGTTAGGTGCCATTGAGTCATTACTGACTCATAGCGACCCTACGTACAATAGACTGAAACACTGCCCTGTCCTGGGCCAACCTCACAATTATTGCCACTCTTGAACCTATTGATGCTGCCACTTTGCCAATCCATCTTGCTGGGGATCTTTCTGCTTTTCTCTGACCTTCCACCTTACCAAACATGATATCCTTCTCCAGTGACTGGTCCCTCCTGACAATGTGTCCGAAGTGCGAGAGACAAAGTTTGGCTATCCTGGCCACCAAGGCTGCACTTCTTCCAACACAGATCTATTGGTTCATTTGGCAGCCCAAGGCACTTTCAATGTTCTCTTTCAACATCATAACTCAAATGCATCTATTCTATGGTCTTTCTTATTCACCATCCAGATTTTGCATGCATATGAGGTTATTGAAAATACCATGGCTTGGGTCAGGCACACCTTAGTCCTCAAGCTGACATCTTTGCTCTTCAACACTTTAAAAAGGTCTTGTGCAGCAGATTTGCCTAATGCAATACGTCGTTTGATCTCTTGACTGCTGTTTCCATGACTGTTGATAGTTGATCCAAGAAGAATGAAGTCCTTGACAACTTTTACATCTTTCCTATATTATTTATTGCAAATGACCATACAGACTTTGTTTTCTTTACAGTATACAAAAATATGCTTTCCGTATACTGTAAAGAAAATCCCAACACTTCTACCCCAATAAAAAGTGCATAAAACAAACACCACTTTTACAATTAGGAAATCTGGTTATACTGACCCAAAATGACCTCCGGAGCTCTGTAATGCCGTGTAGACACCAAAGTGCTATGATGTTCATCATCATATGTTGCACTCCCAAAATCAACAACTTTGATATCTGTGTTTTTCAGTGTGCGCTCATCACGTTTCTAGAGAGAGTTGAGTAAACATGAAGATGCACGGGAAATGAATTTTATTCAAAAGATTTGCACATGAATTATCTTTTTTGATTTTCACCATAATCCCATGAGAAAGGCAAAGTAGGAGTACTCTTTTTTTGGTTTATACAAGGAGCCTCAGAGATGAAATCCTTCATCAAAGGATCACCTAGCTACATTAGTTTTAAAGAAAGTCATTAAAGTTAAAACAACTCTCTAACTTACCATTTTAGAATTATATTTTACTACATAGTCAGACTTCACAAATAAAATATTTTCAGGCTTCAGATCTGTGTGGGTTAATTTATTATGATGTAAAACTACAAAAGAACAAAAAGATATCATTAGTTTCACTTACAAATTAAATCTGCATTGGGAGTGGGGTGTGGAGGGCTTAGAAGTAGACTATTAAGAGGGGTTTCAGTTTTATCTGCTAATATAATATGTATGTGCATTTTAAGTGGCAAAGTGTTGATATGTCCCTTGTACAATAACAAATTTAATTTTCTGGTGTTTAAAAATTTATCAAATATACTTACAGTTTATTGACTGGCAGATCTGATATGCCATCTGCCTGATGTGGTCAATTTGAAATGGCAGAAAGCTGTTTTCTTTAATGAAATCATAAGTACTAAGTCCCAGCAGTTCAAACACAATACAAACATGACCATGATGATCAAACCATTCTAGCATCTGGACACATCGGCTAAAATACATCAAAATAAAACAAATCAGCTGACAGAATTTTGATTGCTTTATGCAATACGAGGCGCTTCAAAAAGCTCATTTGAAGTCCACTCATATAATGGCTCATAGTTTAAGTTTATACTTACAAGACACTATTGGGATCAGTACTATTTAAATGCTCCAACACTTGAACTTCTGAATGAGCTGCTTCACGATATCGACCTACATTTTTTACAATTTTCACTGCTACATGTATGCCATCCCTTAAATACAAAATTTAGATGAAATTGGTATGTGTACAGAATTGAAGTCATGTTTCCTCTAGCACACTTTTTTCACAATTTTATTAATCATCAATCATTCTATGCTATTTTTCTAAAATAATCCTTCAAGGCAAACTATTACTGTTTCCAGAATTTGGAGTTAACTTAGATTTTCTACTTAGCAAAATTAAAAACAAAAAGGGCTAAAAATTCAAACCAAGAATAGAGCATGCTACTTCTGAAAACACTTATCGATTGCTAGCCACAGTGCCAGCCACTGGCTAAATATCAATGGCGAAAAGCCAAGGATATGCCCCTATATACTTATACAGTGTAATGGAAAAACCAGATACATAACAAATTATCATACTATTACCAGTGCCTGGTGCAAGTTTAGGGTCTAGGGGAGAGCAGACTTCTTTAATGAAAAGGTGACACAGAACTGAATTCTGAAAGTTAGGTAAGATATGTGTCAAATGTGTAAGAGAAATGGAACATCCAAGAACAGGAAACATTGTAAGTGTCATGGAGCAAAGAAAATGCACTTTCATTGATGCTAAGTGCTAAAATGGTCTTTAGATTACAGCGTCTGTAAAAGTACTTTCCAAGAAGTAAATAGCCATTAAATATTTCCAGGGAATCAATTTCCTTTCTTCCTCACTTCTATTCTGGATGTGACTCCTAAAGACAAACCATTTTAATTTGTGATGACAATTTTTAGATGGCAATTTAGAAAAATGCAGTTTTATAAAATTCTCAAGAGATTCACTTACAAAAGTTTGAAAACCATGCATATAAAGGTACTGGAGGAAAATGGTAATATGAGGCAGAGAGAATCACACCATAAAGGACTTAAAATGCCCCATTAAAGAATTTTGACTTCATAATATAGGTTTTAAGTAATACAACTTCATTTTAGTTTAGGAAGCTAACTCTAAGATATAAATATTGTTCTTTTGGAATAAATGTTTTTTCAAGAAATAAAATTACACATGCTTTATTGTCTTCTGCTATCTAAAACCAGAGTAAAACCTATATAGAGAAAGGGTCAAGAGCCTGTGTTCGATTTCCCTTCACTTGAATGTTGTTGTTAAGTTCCCTTGAGTCTATTAAAACTACTAGTGACTCTGTACAGGGTTTCCAAGGAGTGGCTGGTGGGTTTGAACAGCCAACCTTTCAGTTAGCAGTCCCATGCTTATCCTGCCAGGTTACTTGCTTTAATTTCAATGAATCGCACTAATTAGAAGTTGTCAACATTCTTGATCCACACTCATGGCAAACAACAAATAATGTTTAAGAAATCTTGATGAACACTTATCTCTTCCATGAAATCACATTGACTACCCTTAAAAATACAATCTCATCTAAATTATGAATCCTTCTGCTAAAAATAATAGAATGTAAAAAAACAAAAACAAATAACTTACATGCCATGATCAATGCACTCTACAACTTTGCCAAAAGCTCCTTCACCCAAAGTATCCACGATTTCATCTAAAGGGGGGTTCAGGGAGAGAAAAGTGTTCAGTATCTAAGTACAAATTATTACAATATTCAAACAATGAATGCTTAAATGTGGAATGTTTTCAAATGATCTCTATCAAAGCATAACTAAAGTTTCAGCACTCAAATTATTTTATTTTCAGGTGCTATAAAAACAATCAGAAATAGCTATCTTTCTTGCTCTAATCTCAAATTCCATTGATTATTTTGGAACTTTAGAGTAGAAATATTTAAATTCTATAGAAAAGAAATACAAAAGAACAAACAAACCCACAAAAAACAAAACAAAACAAAAAATGAAGAGTTCTTTAGCCCCCCCGCTGACAAACTAGTCTTAAAAAGATAATTCTGTCTGCAAAGTTTAGAAAGTGTTGAAAAATATTCTATACATCTTGCTCTTAGAACGTCTCCACTTTGACAGATCAGGTGACCCTCCTCATCATCCTCTATACTCCTGGGTCTTTTCCTTCGATGGCTCTTCTGGAACGGCAAGTGGGCAGCACCAAGATCGTCCAGCCAATCAATATATCAGAGTGAATTCAGGGCAGAATACGCAATTCATTCAGCGGGGAGATATTCAGGCATTCAGATAAGCACCAGGCCACGAACAGTTGGCAGGAGCAATTTCAAATTCAGTCCCCAGAAATTCACAGGGCACAGTTTATGTTACAGAAGAAAAACATGGCAAGGAACAGATTTTCAGATAAGATACTTAAAGTGGCAATAGAAAAAACAACACAATCGTCTCTTTAAAATACTGATTTAATTGAAGTCTGAGATTTAAAGAATGCAATGTTATGATTTACTAACCTCTGTTATAAATAGCATATGCTATGATTTGAGATGTCTAGTTTGTCAAAAAAATGGCTTAAAATGTCAAGATTAGTTGAAATTGATCTTATTTAATAAAAATTAAAAATATGCATAAAGGGAAATAAAGGCTAATTTTAATGTTCTACCTAATGAAAATGAGTTCTACAGAAGAACATTGGGAAGAAAAACAATAGTTCAAAGTTTACTTATCAAACAGGTAAAGATATGTGATTACAAAAAAAGGTGGGAATTTTGGTTTTATATATCCTATTTAGCATCATTTTAAACATTTCTACTGAGCTAGTTGCAGACTCGTTCACTGTGATACACTGCACTATGGAAGTGTGCTATATACACAGGCTAACAACATGTGAAGTATCTACAATGCAACCTTTTCAAGTAAAATAACTCAATATAAAAGATGGGTACTTCATTATTTCCTAAGATGATTGAATTACAAAATTTAAAAAATAATTTGTCAAAATCAAATTCCTGATCTGATCTGCAGAAAATGAGTAAATGTGGGCAAATGAGGGCTAGCTAGTATACACAGATTTGCTTAAGAATTTGTCTACTTTCTTTTAAGGGTCCAAATAATATAAACACAATAGTAACATACCCAATTAGTACTACATATATAAAGAAACTTTCCCAACCTATTGGCTTACTAAGACCTTTAACACACAAATAAAAATCCACCCATAACAAAAACAAAATCAATCATACCGAATGTGACTGATGACTTGAACAGTGTTTATTACGCTTTCTTTTAGGACTGCTTTTCCTGCTTCGGCCTGAAGATTTACTGCAGTGGATTCGATAATCGTTTTCAGCGTTTCTGTGATAATGTCTAGGAACATAGCCTTCACAGTACTCATTTCTGTATTCATCAATGTACCTCCGGTCCCGATAATCTCTCTCATTCAAGGACCTTGCTTCTAAATAATGACTGCAAACACATTAAAGAACAGCAAATTATTTTCTTCATTCTAAAATGCAGTTCAAGCAAAACATTCTCTTAAGCACTCAAGGTTCAAAAACGCAATAAAAAATTCAAATTGATTATTTGGAATACATATTTATCTCACAAAACTAAGAATGATTTCACTTTAACCAACAAGCAAATGGGTCCAAATTTTCCATTATCTGGATTGCTATCAAGCCACTTCACACCAAGAAACAAAGCTTGAGCGAAATCATTCATTTATTTATTATCTTTAGTATTTACTTAAGTGTTCCTTTTAACTTCTGGAAAAGTTAAACCAAAAAACTCACAAAATTGTTCTGAAATTTATCAATCTTATATGTATCTCTAATAACAAAGTTTTCTCTCCTCTCTCACAGAGCCACACAAAATCAGTGGCAGGCAAAACAAGATTCCTTTCCCTGCTACGGTCAATAGTATTTTAGATATCCCTGGCACATAGAGAAAGCTTTTATGAAAGACAATTAAAGCTGGGTTATTAAAGCTGGAATGAACCTTCAATGTAGTTCAGCCCTTTCATTTTACAGATAACTGCGGCGACATGACCCAAGTGTTGGTTCGCTAACCTAAAGGTCAAAGTTTGAATCCACCAGCCGCTCCAAGGAAGGTGAATGAGGCAGTCTCCTTCTTTCAAGATTTACAGTCTTGTAAACCCTATGGTAGCGTAGTGGTTACAAATTGGCTGCAAACTGCAAGGTCAGCAGTTCGAAACTACCAGCTATTCCGCGGGAGAAGGATGAGGCTTTCTGCTCCCGTAAAGATTTACAGCCTCAGAAACCCTGTACAGGGTCGCTATGAGTTGGAACTGAATCCACGGCACATAACCACTAACCAAACCCTATGGAGTTTTACTCTGTCCTGCAATGTGGCTATGAGTTATGATCGACTCAACAGCAGTAGATAGAAAGACAGTGACTTGCCAAGTTGTACAGCACATTAACAATAAAATTTAGATGTTTTTAAGTCTTATAATACAGGCTTAATTTTATTACATATATCACCTATCCTGTTCTCTCCCCTTTGCATTTCTAGTCTACTGTTACTGCTGGCCAAGAAACAGAAAACAATTTTTGAGGGTGTCCTCATGTGCCAAAGACTTCTAAAATATATTCCCCTCAAATGAGAAAACAACATTCCTATATTGCTTGCCTAGGATTACAATAGTACTACTATCCTACTTCCCTTTGCATTTCTAATTTCCAATCATTCCTGCTAGAGTAATAAACAAGAGTTGTACAGGAAAGACAGCATAGCATTGTCTAGTGCCATTCGGCTTGACTTCTTCTAAATCTATAAATCCCTTTGAAAATCTGATGAAAGCAAGAAAAGTACAAATGTATACATAAATCTTTGCAAAGAATTTAAGAGGTCAATGGATCCCAGTTAAGCAGCCTTTATCTGATGGAAAGAAAAGGACATAGATTCAATTGGCCCAATTTCCCGTCCCCCTCTCTACCTGGGATGAGTGTCCTCTTCAACAGAGTGCGAAGCTTCAAGAGGGATGCACATGGAGCACTGAGGGAGAAAGGGGACACCTGCCCAGTCAGACAAATCAGCTAAAATAATCCTGACAAGCAATGGAGTGACAGATGTTGACTAGACTGCCCTCACCATCCCCTTTCCTTTCCCAACATAGGCCGTCATTCTTTATCCCAGGGGCTATCTTATGGAGAGAAAAAAAAGAAGCACCTCTAAAATTGCTACTCAACAGAGTAGCATTAAACACAGGCTGGGGAGATACAGGAATGTTCTTCTGTTTTTCCAATGTCAGTCTTAGTTCTGTTCACTCGAGAAAAAGTTCAGGATATTAGGATAGGACTGGGGATCTAAGTCAGGAATCTGATCACCTGGCTCAGAACTATCAGGGAATGATCTACAATGCACCAAATGAGAAACGACCATACTCTAGAGGGCATCTGGTACAATTCTTAAGACATCCCCTCCCATAAAATTCCGAAGTCTTCCTATCAGAGAAATAACAAAACACCTAATGCTATAAATATCTTAAACTGAAATATTACATGAAATTGGAGTACTGATAATCTAAAAACAGTCAATAAAATAACAAACATGGGCTAAAGAAACACCATGAGGATAACCTAAAATGATGAGGGGCTATTTAGTTTTTAATGAACAAGGTTTATATAAGCAAACTCTACAGAATTATAATGACAATGGATAGGATAGATAGGACAAAGAAATTGATTTCATTTAAAAAAATATTCACTGAATGTCCAGTGAATATTTCACTGTGGCCTTTCACAATAGCCAAGATTCATACAGGCTTGGGCATTTGTGTTTATTTCCACACAGGTCCTGTAGGAGACAAAAAACGATATAAGGCAAAGTTCTGCCAACAAATAATGAGCAACATGAGATTGCTCAAGTAAAAATAAAACAAAAACCAACAATAACAATGAAACGTTGCATATGACTAAATAGGGCTATAGAAGAAACTCAATCTGCATAAAATGTTAGGGAAGAGTTTTATGAAAAGATGGAAACAGAGTTGCATCTTAAAAGGAAGTCAGGGTAGAAGACATTCCAAGGGAGAAAGCATAATTATCATCTTATTAGCTAGCACTTTTAGTCACAATGTTTTGGTGATGGATTTGTCTATGCATTCCTGAGGAATAAGTCAGTATACAATTCAAGCAAGAGCAGTTTTCACATAAAGGAATATAAGCAAATAAATAAGCTAGGGTATTTCATCAAAGACCCTACATGACAGGCTAAGATGTTGAAAACAGCGCTTCTCAAAGGGTGATCCTATATTCAACTATTTAGAATATGAAATTCTTATTGAAAAATAAAAATTTCTGGGGCCTTGGTCAGATACATTGAATCTGTATCTGGCAATCTCTACTTCAAACAAACCTCTAAGGTTATTCTTTTCACAGTAAAGTTGGAGAATTACTAGTTTAAGATGAAATGTTTTATGTTATCGGAAGACATTTAAGGCGTTTGACCAAAATGTTTACAGGCGGCATCTGAAAATTGATAAAAAGCCTGTAGGAAGGGACACCAATTCACAGGTTACTGCCAAAAGATAAGTCAAAAAGAAAAGACACTTTGCAGTAAATATTCAAAGTGTTAAAATTATTAATATGTAATAAATAGTTCATATAAATCAGTTTAAGGGGAGCACAGTGACTCTGTAGGAGAAGTACTGGACAAGGTCAGTTGTTCACAAGCCCAACAGTCACTCCACTGGAGAAAGATGAGGCTCACCGCTCTTGCAGATTTATAGCCTTGGAAACCCTATATATGGTCACTATGAGTTGGAATTGATTTGACTGTATTTAACAAAAATAGCATCATAAATCAGCAAAAAAGCCCACAGGTTAGTAAAAAAAAGTCAACTTAATACAAAAAAATATGCAAATCAATAAGCATATAAAAGTAGACATATTCACTAGAATTTTAATTGAAAACAAAACACTACTTTTGGCCTTTCAATATAGCAAACACTGGCAACATCGAATATGTTGTAGGAGAAAACTTGGTACCAAAGGTGGGGAGAAAAGCGAGTATGTAGTAAGAATCTTGTTATTGTTATTGTTAAGTGCTGTCGAGTCAGTTCTGACTCATAGTGACCCTGTATAGTTTCCAAGGAGTAGCTGCTAGGTTTGAACCACCAACCTTTCGGTTAACAGTCCAGTGCTTATTGTACAGCACCACACCAGGACTCCAGCAAGAATCAAAAATCTTAGAAGTCTTTAAATCCTTCACCTTGAAAATATCCTTTCTTAAATTCTATTTTTGGGAATTATAAACAAAGATCTGTATATAAATATATTTTTAAGAATAACTAGAAATAATTTTACATTCATAAAATGGGGGATGATTAGCAACCTATCAAGATTATCTTTATAGTTTGCTCCATTTTTCATTTTGTGCCATTTTATGCTAAATTTAAAAAAATCTTTTAATTCTTTTTTAAGATCTTACACTGTTTTTAAATCTTCAAAAAGACATTAGAGTCTGCATTATAGAGTGCAATTGTCACCCAACGTCTCCAGGTGCTGATGTCATAAAAGGAGGTATTATTGCGCTGGGATTGACTTAGTATCATGTTTGCATAACTGATTATTAACATGAAAAAAACTGCTTATCACTCAAACACTACATATTCAATATATGAATAATCAGTACAATGACAATGAGTCTTAGAGGATATTTTGTATTTATTAATAATTGGGCATAGATCTTTTATTAGCTGTGTTAATTAAAATTCTGGCATAAACCCTCCCACTGAGCAGTGTGAAGAATAATTAGTCTGCATTGACTTCAAGCTCACTGTTCTGTGGAACAAGTCTGCTTAGCATGGAGAAGGAAAAAATTACATACTGTTTTCTAAAGTTACCCCAGCTGGCTAATTTAGAAAGCAATCTGGCAAACAGTCCCAATGGAACGAACATCTGCACAAAACAAGGAAAAAACATAGAACCAACAAAGGAGAAAGGGAAATAACTAAGAAAAGAGTGAAAGAAACTCTACTCACCTAGTCTTTCTTTCATCACTAGGAATTTTTTAAAACTTCTTTAATTTAGTCTAAATGTGTTGCCTTCAAATTTTAACCTGGTACAAATACAGTAAAATAGGGCAAATGCTACTGGAAATTTTTACCAAGACCTTTTCCTAAATTACTGGCTACTGTTCATGCAAAAGAATGGTTCTTCCAAAAATGAAGCTTCTAAAAATCCCAAACATATCTCCACTGTCCTTATCAACAAATCATAACCCAGAGAACATAATATAGTATAAATGACTAAAATATCTAATACCCTTTTAGCTTTCCCAAATAGTGTATGTTGATCATCTGAAATAACTCCTCTTCCCTTAGGCATATAACATTTATGAAACACAAAACGAGTACAATAACATACATATTTCCCTCCTACAAATCCAAAGTACAAGTTAAAGGTACTTAACTGGATATTCTGCCATCACTGTTGATTTGTTTTATGTCTCATCTCCCTATGCTACGAGCAGCCTTATTGTAGGTGTATTGTTTGACAATCCCTCACAATACCTTGCAAAGTGAGAACTCAATTTTTTTTTTTTTTTAATCTACTTACTGATATACTCTCTTCAATGACTGCCAGAGAGATATGGATATGAGGTCATGAATTCTGTTTTATTCACAGTGGTAGCTTCAGTACCTATTGTCTATCCCATAATAGGCACTCAGTAGTATTTTAATGAATATTTGTTGAATGAATCATAAGACAATCTGACAAATGAATGCTATATATGTAAATGACAAATCACTAAAAAACTATTGGAGTTAAGATGTTACTAGTTCAAGAGCAATTTACCCATCAGATTCTTTAAACTCAGGATGTGGTTTACAATGCTTGTTCTCTTGTGTACTACTGTGAGACCTCTTCCGTTTGTGACTTCCACTATAGCTTTCATGATCCCAGCTTTCTCTGCTATCCCAATCAGGGCAATGAGTACGTTTAGAATGCCGCATCTGTTATCAAAAACAAAAAAGGAGTTGTTAGCATAGATGGCTATGTTTAACAAAGTATTATATATTAACATTATTCGAACACCACATATAAAGAAAACAAATATTCTCAACACTGGACCAATAAATAACACCTACGTAAATGGAGAAAAGATTGAAGTTGTCAATGACTTCATTTTGCTTGGATCAACCATCAACACTCATGGAAGCAGCAATCAGGAAATCAAACGATATACTGCGTCAGGCAAATCTGCTGCACAAGACCTCTCTTTAAAGTGTTGAAGAGCAAAGATGTCAGTATGAGGACTAAGAGGTGCTTGCTGCAAGCCATGGTAGTTTCAATGACCTCATATGCATGGAATAATTGGACAGTGAATAAGGAAGACTGTAGAAGAATTGATGCATTTGAATTTTGGTATTGGAGAAAACTGAAAGTACCATGGACTGCCAATAGAAAAAATACCAGATTTAGGACAGGATAGGATGGCCAGACTTTGTCTCTCACACCTCGGACATATTGTCAGGAGGGACCAGTCACTGGAAAAGGAGATCATGTTTGGTAAAGTGGAGGGTAAGAGAAAAAGAGGAAGACCCTCAATGAGATGAATTGGCACAGTGGCAGCATCACTGGGCTCAAATGCAGCAACGATTGTGAGGTTGGCACAGGATGGCACACAGTTTCGTTCTGTTGTGCATAGGGTCGCTATGAGTTGGTACCAACTCGATGGTACCTAATAACATTATTCAAACATAAAGATTTAACACAGGTTCTAAATTTTTTCTTAAATTATGGTCAATATAAATGTAGCAAAACATTTACCATTTAAACATTCTTCACATTTACAATCCAGTGACATTAAGTAATTCATCATGTTATGTATTATCACCATTATCCATTTCTAAGATTTTCTATCATCTTAAACAGATCAGTGTCACTTATCTAAAATATTCCCAAGTCATGAAACAATGTAAATGGCAGACAAATCTAGTACTAAATGATGCATGCCAACACTGTGGGACCTTAATATAGGTGTACTCTGATTTTAACATTCACTTTATGGCCCTTTGCTTTTATGAAAGAACTACAAAAACTACTGTTTTGCTAACTGAAAGAAATCTGAAGGGTATTTTTGTTTTCATGGGGAAAAGGTAACAAATAGAACTCATGTTCAATTTGTTTTACAGTGAGCTGTTAAAGAGGCAGCAAGCACCATGAGCAGCAAGAGTGGTTGTCACCAGGCTCCTTCCCTGGAAACTACACTCAGCAAATGAGCATCAAGTTGTCATAACTTTCAACTGTGTGAACACACTTTTGCTCTTGTTAAGTGCCACCAAGTCCATTCCAACTCATAGCAACCTTGTATAGGGTTTCCAAAGAGCAGCTGGTGAGTTTGAATTTGAACCACTGACTTTGTGGTTCAAACTGACTTTTTGGTGCAGTGCTTACCCTAATACACAACACCAGGACTTCAAATGCACTTTGTTGTTATTGTTGTTGTTAGGTGCTATCGAGTCAGTACCAACTCATAGCGACCTTATGCACAGCAGAGTGAAAACACTGCCCGATCCTGGGCCAACCTCACTACTGTTGCCACACTTGAACTCACTGATGATGCCACTTTGCCAACCCATCTATCTCACTGGGGGTCTTCCTCTTTTTCTCTGACTCTCCACCTTCCCAAGTATGATATCCATCTCTAGAGACTGGTCTCCTGACAATATGTCTGAAGTTTGAGAGACGAAGTTTGGCTATGCTAGCTTCCAAGGAGCACTCTGGCTGCACTTCTTCCAACACAGATCTGTTGGTTCTTTTGGCAGCCCATGGCACTTTCAATATTTTCCTCTAACACCACAATTCAAAAGCATCAATTCTTCTACAGTCTTCCTTATTCACTGTCCAGCTTTCACATGCATATGTTGTTGTTGTTAGGTGCCATCGAGATGGTACCGACTCACAGTAACCTTATGCACAGCAGAACTAAACACTGCCTGATCCTGGGCCAACCTTACTGCTGTTGCCACGCTTGAGTCCAACGATGCTGCCACTTGGCCAATCCATCTCGTTGGGGTTCTTCCTCTTTTTCTCTGACCCTCCACCTTACCTAACATGATATCCTTCTCTAGTGACTGTTCCCTCCTTACAATATGTCCGAAGTATGCGAGATGAAGTTATGAAAATACCATGGCTTGAGTCAGGCTCACCTTACTCCTCAAACTGACATCTTTGCTCTTCAACACTTTAAAAAGGTCTTGTGCAACAAATTTGCCTAATGCAATATGTCATTTGATTTCTTGACTGCTGCTTCCATGAGTGTTGGTAGTTGATCCAAGAAGAATGAAGTCCTTGACAACTTCAATCTTTTCTCCATGGATAAGAATGTTGTTTATTGGTCCAGTGGTGAGGATTTTTGTTTTCTTGACATTGAGATGTAATCCATAATGAAGACTGTGCTCTTTTGATCTTTATCAGTAAATATTTTAAGTCCTCTTCACTTTCAGCAAGCAAGGTTGTATCATCTGCATATTGCAGGTTGTTAATGAGTCTGTCTCCAATCCTGATGCCACATTTTTCTTCATATAACCCAGCTTCTTGGATTATTTGCTCAGTATATAGGTTGAATAAGTATGGTGAAAGAATACAACCCTGTCACACATCTTTCTTAATTTTAAAACATTCAGTGTTCCCATGTTCATTTCGAACAACTGCCTCTTGGTCCATTCCTCATGAGCACAATTAAGTGTTCCGGAATACTCATACTTCACAATATTGTCCATAGCTTGTCATGATCCACACAACTGAAAGCCATTGCGTAGTCAATAAAGCACAAGTAAACATCTTTCTGATATGCTCTGCTTTCAGCCAAGATCCATCGGACATTAGCAATGATATCCCTTGTTCCACGGCCTCTTCTGAATCTGGCTTGAACCTCTGGAAGTTCTCTGTCAATGTATGCTTGCAAGCCATTCCTGTATTACCTTTAGTAAAACTTTACTCGCATGGGAGATCAAAGAGATTATCAGATGATTTCCGCATTCTGTTGGGTCACCTCTCTTTGGAATGGGCACAAATACGGATCTTTTCCAATCAGTTGGCCAGATGATTGTCATCCAAATTTATTTGCATAGATGATTGAGTGCCTCCTGTGCCACCTAACTTACTTGAAAGATTTCAGTTTTTAATTCCATCAATTCCTGGTGCCTTGTTCTTTGCCAAATTCCTTCAATGCACCTTGGACTTCCTCCTTCAGTATCGTTGGCTCTTGATCATATGCTACCTCTTGAAATGGTTGAACATCAACCACTTCCTTTTGGTACAGTGACTCTGTGTATTCCTTCCATCTTCTTTTGTTGCTTTTTGCATCATTCAATAATTTGCCCACAGAATCTTTCAATAATGAAAGTCGAGGCTTGTATTTTTTTTTCAGTTCCCCCAGCTTGAGAAATGCTGAGCGTGTTCTTCCTTTTTGGTTTCCTAACTCCAGATCTTTGCACATTTTGTTGTAATATTTGACTCTATCTTCTCAAGCTGACCTTTGAAATTTTTTGTTCAGCTCTTGAACCTCCTCATTTCTTCCATTTGCTTTAGCATCACTATACTGGAGAGCAAGGTTTAGTGTCTCTTCTGACATCCATTTTGACCTTTTCCTTCTTTCTTGTCTTCTTAATGACTATTTGCTTTCTTCCTGTATGATGTTCTTGATGTCATCCCACAACTCTTCTGGTCTTTGGTCTTTAGTGTTTAAGGTATCAAATCTAAGTTAGTGTTATTTTAGGTTCTATATGCTATTTGGTATGATTTGATAGGTTAGTTTTGGGCCTGGGAATGCTTAACATTTTTTCCTGTATAAATGATTGGTAATTGCTCTTTCGCTCTGGGCTTATGAAAGATTCATAGGAACACTCTACTTTTGGATAATAGAGGAAAACTATACTTTTTTTTTTCAATCCTAATATACCAAGAACAATGTTTTAGCTTGATGCTTATCTTCAACAAACACTTATTCATTGTCCTTTAAAAAGAAAAAACGGCTAGAGTTTGGGGTAAGAGCCTTCAGCAGACAAAATATCCAGCTAGAAACGAATAACTTTTATTTTCTTTTCATTTATTTTCAGTTATATATTGAAACTGATTACTGATTTCCTAATTAAGTCATTGCTATGAATTATTTTAGTAAAAATATTAACTGAAGATGTAAGCTGATGTAAAAATAAACAATATGACATATGACAAGTGTCACCCAGCTTTGGCAAAAATACTTAAATACACAGATACCTGAAGTCAGAGAAAACACCTAGTGATATTAATCATGGGAGATTACTTTGTTTTTTGTTGTTGTTGTTGTTGTTAAGTGCCGTCGAGTCGGTTCCGACCCATAGCGACCCTGCACAGGGTTTCCGAGGGTGTAAATCTTTACGGGAGTAGAAAGCCTCATCTTTCTCCCGCACTTTGTTTTTAAAGCTATCAATATAGCTTTTTTTCGACTCTGTAAAGTTCTCTTCTTTAAATCTTAGAATGACTCCAAGTTTTTAAAAGTAAAGTTCTCTTCTTTAAATCTTAGAATGACTCCAAGTTTTTAAAAGAAAAGAAGAGGTGACTAGAACAGCATTCAATAGAAATTGAAGGGCAATAAAAAGATGATTTAATAATGAGGTACTTTATCCAAAGAAATTATTTTCAAATCACCCTGCATTTAGTCTTAAATCTATTTGTTACATATCTGGAGTTGTAAAAGAAACCAACTTAAGATGCTCCGCAATGAAGTATGGTCATAGTGAAATCAGAAAGATGATGGTGATAAGCCCTTGATTCCATCTATTACCATCTGCTTCCAGGTTCCATATCTGCTCTCAATGCCATCTCTAGCTGCTTCCCTCCATCTTAACTATTTTCCAAAGCAGATAAATTTTAACAGTGAATTCTAAACCCTCTACTAAGCAAATGATGAGTTTAAAAGGCAAAAAGGGAAGAATTTCACAACTTCAGCAAAGAACTTGAAAAGCTAAAATGGTACAAAACCAATTTAGCTAACCTCTGTCTGCTTGCCCAAATAAATACAAGTGAAAATTTAAAGTAGATTAAAACAAGACTTTTAAATGAGACTGTTCAATTCTCCTGGGAGATTGCTGTTTGTTGTTGTTAAGTGCCGTCTAGTAGTCCCCAACTCATAGTGATCCTGCATAGGGTTTCCGAGGAGCTGCTGGTGAGCTTAAACCACCAATATTGTGGTATTCCTTAAAAAAACAACAAATCTGTATCATCCCATCAGAGCCTTATGCCATCAAATATTCAGATCTCTTTAACTCAGTTCGCTTGCTGATTCTAAGTGTATGCCCATTTACCTTTCTTCTGATAATACAGCTTAAGAAAGGAAGAGGAGGCAGTGATGAGTCAAACAAGCAAAACTCTGAAAACAGTTGTTAGGCGTCTCATTGGAAATTAATAAGTGATGTGGTATATTAAGTATGGGGTGTGTTTTTGTTAGGTGTCGTTAAGTTGGTTCCAAAATCACAGCAAGCCCATATGATTGATAGAGTAGAACTCCTGCAAAGCAGTTGATGAATTCAAACTGCCAACCTTTTGGTTAGCAAGTGAGTGCTAAACCACTGTGCTACCAAGGTTCCTAGTATGGGAAATTGAAATGAAGGATGCAAAGCTTTGGCAAAATATGGCTAAAGGCCAAAAAGCAAACGTTCATCAAAGGAGCCATAACAAATCTATTTCTAGTGGAATTCTTCTGACCCTTTCCTTCAATTACCAAAACTGGATTTTAATGACATTTTTATGTTAAAGTTAAAACTTTGTTAAGTGCCATAGCAGCCTAGTAAAGGGTTTCCAAGGAGCAGCTGATGGGTTTGAACCGCAGACTTCACAGTTAGCAATACAGTGTTTATTCTACAGAGCCATATCAGTACCTCTTATCTTCACTGTTGTTATTAAGTCCTTTCCAATTCACAGCAACCCTGAGGAGCAGCTAGTGGTTTTGAACCACTAACCTTGTGGTTAGCAGTCCAGCACTTATCCTACAGTGCCACCTGAACTCTGAAATAGTTCTCAGCACTCTCAAACAAATAATAGCAAGCAAAACTGCAGCATCTGATGACTGAGGGTTACTATGATGACCATCCATGATTGTGCAGTTTTTTTGCCAAACACAAGTCTCCTTCGCATCCTTCCACCATTACTATCAGTAGGCCACAGCAAGCTCACCTCCAACAAGGCAAAATTCTCAACCAGTTATTACAGTAAAACCTGTAAAACTGGAACCTATGGAATATGGAAAACTGCCTGAGAAGGAAAACCAAATATTTTCCACTAGTAGAGATTAGAAAAGTAGTTGAGACTATATCCAGTCAAATACAGAAAAACATTCTGCTCTCACAGGTTTCATGGTAATACATAAATACGCAAATAAGAGCAAGCTCCTTAGGAGTGCTTAGGATTTGTATAAAGAGCTCTGGTAGCGTAATGGTTACGAGTCAGGCTGCTAACCTCAAGGTCAGCAGTTTGAAACTACCAGCCGTTCCACAGGAAAAAGATGAGGCTTGCTGCTCTCGTAAAGATTTACAGCCTCAGTAACCCTCTACAGGGTCGCTATGAGTCAGAACTGATGCCACGGCATACTACCATCATCACCACCAGTCAAGGTATGGAGTCCTGGTACGGTGCTGTGGGATAAGGCACTGTACAGGGTTCGCTATGAGTCGGAACTGACTCCATGGCACTTAACAACAAAGTCAAGATATGGAATCCTGGTGTGGCACTGTAGGATAAGCACTGGACCGCAAGGTCGGTTTGCACTGCAAAGTTGGTGGTTCAAACTCACCAGCCAATCCTTGGAAACCTTATCACTATGACTCCACAGCAAGGTGTGGTGCTGTAAGAGAAAGCACTGGACTGCTAACCACAAGGTTAGAGTCCAAACCCACCAGTGGCTCTCTAAAACCCTCTACAGGGCCACCACGAGCTGGTACCTATTCAACGGCACACAACAGTCAAGTTCACTACTTAAAATCAGTAGTGAAATACGAAGACGCTTCAAAGAATTCTTAGGAAATTTTCATTATTGAATTCCATTTTTCCATGACTTTTTGAGAATATATTTGAGGATTCCTGGTGTGGCGCTGTAGGATTAGAACAGGGCTGCGAACCACAAGGTCAGCAGTTCAATCCTATCAGCCACTCTTCAGAAATACTATATAGGGTTGGTATGAATCAGAACCAACTCGATGGCACTAAATAACAAAAGCATATATTCAAGGGGTCCTGGTGTGGCACTGTAGGATAAGCATTGTACTACTAACCAAAACGTCAGTGGTTCACAACCACCAGCCACTTCTCAGAAATCCTGTACAGGGTCACCCTGTGAGTCAGAATCAACTCAACAGCACTCAACAACAAGAAAACATATACTCAAAGGAGGCATAGATTCCTGAACCCCTGTCCTACAGAGAAGATTCTTTCATATAAACAAATAGGAAAAACTATAATTATTGGTGCTGTGCGTTAATGCGCTGGACACTTCAAGGTCAGTCTGAATGGCAAGGTCAGGAGTTCAAGCTCACCGGCTGCTCCTTAAAAACCTTATACAGGGTTGCTATGAGTTGACAGAACTTTATAACAACAAATTAATAAAGAACCCCATATGCTAAAATATTTTAAAATAAAAACAGACATAATGGGATTGGTATATATATATCCACAATAGAAATCTGATTCTCCTGTTCTTTTTAAAATCTTGTGCCATAGGATAACCACTCTACCTCAAGGTCGGTTTTAACTACAAGGTGGACGGTTCAAACTCACCAGCCGCTCCTCGGAAATCCTATACAGGATGGCTAGGAGTCGAACTGACTTGACAGCACTTAACAACAACAAACGCTATGTGTTGTTGCTGTTGTTGTGTGCTGTCATGGCTTCTTGTTGGTAAGTACCATGGAATCAGTTCCAACTCATAGTGACCCTGTACAGGGTTTCCAAGGCGGTAAATCTTTACGAGAGCAGAAAGCCTCATCTTTCTCCCATGGAACAGTTGGTAGTTTTGAACTACCGACCTTAAAGTTAGCTAGTAACCACTACGCTACCAGAACTCCATATTTGCATGGCTTAAAAGCACCAAAATAAGATACTATGGCCGGAGGGCTGCAAGAGGACTGCATTTAAAGAGTTAACAAGAGTTTGAAGGTGTGTTGCCTGGCACAATCACAGAGAGGGCTATAAATATAAAGAATGGCCATGGGTTGGCCCTATCAATTAGGAAAGCAGCTTCCTAAGGATGTTGTTAGGTGCCTGGTGAAGTATAGCGCTGACTATGCACAACAGAACAAAATACTGCTTGATTCTGTGTTATCCTCACAATTGTTCTGTGTGAGCCCATTATCATTGCCTAAGTATAGGTGTCCAGGTGTGGTGCTGTAGGGTAGGTTGTTGCTGTTAAGTGTTGTCAAGTCGATTCTGACTCATAGCAATCCTGTGTGGGGTTTCCAAGGAGCAGCTGGAGGGTAGACTGTTGTTGTTAAGACCCATAGGGACAGTGCAGTGTATTGGGTTTTCAAAGAGGATAGGTACTGGACTGTAATTTGAAAAGTCAGTGGTTCAAATCCATCATGGGCTCCTCGGAAATCTTATATACCCACTTAACAACAAAGATAGAATAAGCATATCTGGGCTTCTTAAGTAATCAAAGATGTTCTTGTTAAGTGTCATCGAGTCTATTCAGACTCATGGCGACACTGTCCGGGCTTTCCAAGGATGCAAATATTTGAGGGAGCAGAAAGCCTCATCTTTCACCCATGGAGTGGTTGGTGGGCTCAAACCTCTGACCTCGTGGTTCCCAGTCCAGTACTTAACCTTACAGAGCACCACCATGCTTCCAATCAACGATAATAAGATGCAAAATTATCATAATTCGTTGCAACAATGGTGTGTTCCACCTTAGGAAGAAAACACAGCACAAAGGAGGAACTTCCCCATACAGCACTCAAAGGTGGAGCCCTAGGAGAGCAGTGGGTAACCCCTGAGCTGCTAACTAAAAGGCCTGTGGTACTAACTTACTAGTCACATCTTCCCGGTGGGGGTTAGAAAGACGTGCCATCCATAAAGACCTACAGCCTTGGAATCCCTATGGGGACAGTTCTACTATCAAAGGGTTGCTATGGGTAGGAATCTACAGCAAAGGGCCCCATTTCTAGCCTCCTGACCAGGACCTTTTGCACATTCACAAACCCCGGCAAATATCTGACTCTGAAAAACTTCCAAATTCAAGAAACAGCAGAGGCCTAGAGTCCTGGGGAGAATTGGACCACCCTCAAAACAAGCAGCAGACCCGGCCCGCCTGCACAGCTAAGTCCCCACGCCCAACAGGTTCTCACCCTCCTTGTCAGCGGCAGCCCGGGCTGGGATCCTTAATACCCACCCCGTTCGCCACTACATTGGGACGAGTTCAGCGCCCCCTACCCCCAGCCGTGGTTCGCCAGGTAGGAGCCCTCAGATAAAGGATGGCGCAGAACCGCGGGCTTTTCCGCACCTGGACTTTAGATTTTCCATGGCTCCTGATCAATTTTAAGCTTTTAAAGCAACCAGCTGAGCAACATTTCCTAAGAGTCCAACCCGGTCAACAAGAGCAGAAGGCCCGAACCTAGTCCTTTCTCCAACATCAGGCTTTGACACTTAAGAGTCTCCCAGCAAAGTACATCTGATACGTTACCTCTGCAAAAGCAAAAGGTTCTTTGAGCGAGGAATGTCGCCAAACCCTCCTCTTGACTCTCCTGCCTCTGCGACAAACACTCCACAAAATGGCGATAGCGCCGACTCCCTACAACTCCCAAGGCAGCCCCTAGCGCCACCTATGACGCGCGAACGTGGCTGCGTGACAGAGCCTTGCGCGCTCCCGCCACTGCCACGGCTCTAAGGGCCCGCGCTAAATTTCACATCAGGGGCGGGACTTGGTCTTTCACACAGCATCAGAACAGCCCGATTTTTTTTTATCCCGCCCAGAGCTCTGCTGGAATGGTGTATTTCGCTGGGTGAAGGGCCAATGAAATTTTGTATCCTCCCCTCTCCGTGGCGGAAGTCTGCTCCTTAAGGTGGAGTTATTAGTGCTGCGCTCCTCAGCAAAACAGGTACCTTTCGCCCTCAAGTGTGCTGCACCCTTTCACTTTGGTGACCAATACTTTCTATCTCCAAGACCTCAACTTCAGAGGGTGTCAACAAACCACAAATAAACCTCAAAGACTACCCAGTCTGGTGCTGAGAATAAGTCAGTGCACAGGATAGACCCAACCCGCTTGGATCTTTCAGTCTAAATGGATTCAGAAAAATAAAGATGTCTCAGAAAACAAGCTTGTTGTTGTTTGTTATGTGCCTTGGAGACGGTTCCGACTCATAATGACCTTGTACAGGGTCTCCACTCTGTAAATCTTTACAGGAGCAGAAAGCCTCATCTTCTCCCGCGGAACAGCTGGTAGTTTCGAACTGCTGACCTAGTGGTTCACAGCCTTCATAACCACTACTCTACCAAAGAAAACTAGCTTAGGGGTATGCTTGTCTTGTAAAGGCAAGGTCTCCTAATCAGAAAGAAAAAAATAGACAATGGAAAGTTTCTTTAAATAACATTCTCAGTTATGTTTCCTGTCTCCCAGTTGTAAAATAAGCTACACCAGGACTCCAGATTTACATTTTACATAGACTTTAATTTCCAGATCCTTAAAGATGCTGTCCCTAACTATGCCAGTCCCCACCCATCTCCTTCTCTTGAATGCTCCACTTAAAGTTGTGGTCTGCAAAAAATGGCCAAAGGCATTGTGGTGTGTCTAACACTCAAGCATGCCAACCAACCAATGTTTCCCCAATAGTGAAACTCATTGGTTCTCCAAGTGATCACAGAGTCCTGGTTTGGTGCTATAGGCTATGCACTCCACTGCTAAACCACAAGGTTGGTGATTCAAACCCATCAGTCACTCCTCCGAAACCATATGCAGGGTTACTATGAGTCAGAATTGACTTGATGATACTTAACAAGTAAACACAAGTACTACTGTTTCAGTGGCATTGCTCAAAGAGAAGGTTAAATAAGAGGGTTGGATAATTTTGTAAGATAAAATGGGGTTCAACTTGCTGCATATAAGTGCAAGTTCAAGCTGGCACCAAAAGAAAAAATCTCAGTTTGTTAGAGAATGATAGTTCTTAGTCTCATGAGGATACATACGTATAAGAGAGTATGATCAGAACAGCACACCAAAACAAAACAAAACAAAACAAAACAAACAAACAGACTCACTGCCATTGAGTAGATTCCAACACATAGCGATCCTATTTAAGGTTTCTGAGACTGTAAATCTTTACAGGAGTAGAAAACCTCATCTTTCTCCAATGGAGTAGCTGGTGGGTTTGAACTGCTAACCTTTCTGTTAGCAGTCCAGTGCTTATCCATCAGGACAGCACATAGTTCTGCTCAAATAGCAAAACAAGACTAAAAGGCAGCCACATGGAGTAGCCATATGCAGAGATTCTTACAGGTATTTCATGATACAACCGTCTGTCAGTTTGTCGTACTATGGTGGCTTGTGAGTTGCTGTGATTCTGAAAGCTATGCCACCAGTATTTTAAATACCAGCAGGGTCAGCCATGGTGGACAGATTTCAGATGAGCTTCTTATGAATATTTCATCACTGAAAAATTTATGAATAGCAGAGAAACACTGCCAGATATAGTGCTGGAAAATGAGCCCCTCAGGCTGGAAGACACTCAAAATGCTATTGGGGAAGAGCTGCCTCCTCAAAGTAGAGTTGACCGTGATGATGCAAGTGGAGTAAAGCCCATGGGAGAAAAACCCTCAAGACCTTCATTTGTTGATGGGGCACAAGTCAAAATGAAGAGAAACATCCATTGAAAATCAGAACATGGAATGTACGAAGAATGAATCTGGGAAAATTGGAAGTTGTCAAAAATGAAATGGAACACATTAGTGAGCTGAAATGGACTGGTGTTGGCATTTTGAATCTGATGACCACATGGTTTACTATGCTGGAAATGACAAATTGAAGAGGAATGGAATTGCATTCATTGTCAAAAAGAACATATCCAGATCAGTCATGAGGTACAATGCTGTCTGTGATAGGATAATATCCATGCGCCTACAGGGAAGTCCAGTTAATACCACTATTATTCAAATTTACACACCAACCATTAAAGCCAGTGAGAATGAAATAGAAGAATTCTACCAACTTCTTCAATCTGAAATTGATCAAACATGCAATCAAGATGTACTGATAATTACTGGTGATTGGAATGCAAAGGTTGGGAGCAAAGAGGAAGGATCAGTAGTTGGAAAATATGGCCTTGGTGATAGAAATTATGCTGGAGAATGCATGATAGAATTCTGAAAAACCAATTATTTGTTCATTTCAAATACCTTCTTTAGACAGCATAAGAGACAACTATACACACGGACCTCACCAGATGGAATACATAGAAATCAAATTGACTACATCTGCAGAAATAGAAGATGGAAAAGCTCCATATCATCAGTCAAAGCAAGGCCAGGGGCAGATTGTGGAACAGACCATCAATTACTCATATGCAAATTCAAACTGAAACTGAAGAAAATGAAAACAAGTCCATGAGAGCCAAAATATGACCTTGAATATATCTCACCTGAATTTACAGATCATCTGAAGAACAGATCTGATACATTAAATACTAAAGACCAAAGACCAGAAGAGTTGTGGGATGACATCAAGGACATCATACATGAAGAAAGCAAAAGTCATTAAGAAGACAAGAAAGAAGGAAAAGGTCAAAATGGAAGTCAGAAGAGACACTGAAACTTGCTCTCCAGTGTAGAGATGCTAAAGCAAATGGAAGAAATGAGGAGGTCCAAGAGCTGAACAGAAAATTTCAAAGATCAGCTGAAGAAAATAAAGCCTAATATTACAACAAAATGTGCAAAGATCTGGAATTAGAAAACCAAAAAGGAAAACACAGCATTTCTCAAGCTGGGAGAACTAAAGAAAAAAATCAAGCCTCAACTTTTGTTATTGAACGATTCTCTGGGCAATTTACTGAATGATGCAGAAAACATCAAGAGAAGATGGAAGGAATACACAGTCACTGTACCAAAAGGAAATGGTAGACTATGATCAAAAGCCAAAGATACTGAAGGTGGAAGTCCAAGGTGCATTGAAAGAATTGGCAAAGAACAAGGCACCAGGATTGATAGAATAAAAATGGAAATCTTTCAAAAAGTGAGGCAGCACAGGAGGCACTCACTCAACTCTGCCAAGAAATTTGGAAGACAACTATCTGGCCCCCTGATTGGAAGAGATCCGTATTTGTGCCCATTCCAAGGAGCGGTGAAAGATTGGAGGAAGACTCTTCAACAATCTGCGATATGCAGATGATACAACCTTGCTTGCTGAAAGTTAAGAGAACGTAAACCATTTACTGATGAAGATCAAAGAGCACAGCCTTTGGTATGGATTATATCTCAATGTAAAGAAAATAAAAATCCTCATCCCTGGACCAATAAACAGCATTCTGATCAACAGAGATAAGATTGAAGTTGTCAAGGACTTCATTCTTCTTGGATCAACTATCAACATTCATGGAAACAGCAGTCAAGAAATCAAACGACATATTGCATTAGGCAAATCTGCTGCTCAAGACCTTTTTAAAGTGTTGAAGAGCAAAGATGTCAGCTTGAGGACTAAAGTGCACCTGACCCAAGCCATGGTATTGTCAATAACCTCATATGTATGCAAAAGCTAGACAGTGAATAAGGAAGAACGCAGAATTGATACTTTTGAGTTATGGTGTTGGAGGAGAATATTGAAAGTGCCATGGGCTGCCAAAAGAACCAATAGATCTATGTTGGAAGAAGTGCAGCCAGAGTGCTCCTTGGAGGCCAAGATGGCCAAACTTCGTCTTTCATACTTCGGACATATTGTCGGGGGGCCCAGTCCACTGGGAAGGATATCATGTTTGGTAAGGTGGCAAGTCAGAGAAAAAGAGGAAGATCAACAACAAGATGGACTGGCTAAGTGGCAGCATCGATGGACTCAAGCGTGGCAACAGTAGAGAGGTTGGCCCAGGATTGGGCAGTGTTCATTCTGCTGTGCATAAGGTCGCTATGGGTTGGTACTGACTCAATGGCACCTAACAACAACAACAAACCTCTATGAGTATAGGTCAAGTTCATCAAATTATAGCAATTGATCATTTCCTTTATCAAAAATTATTTTGTCCGACTCGATGGCACCTAACAACAACAACAAACCTCTATGAGTATAGGTCAAGTTCATCAAATTATAGCAATTGATCATTTCCTTTATCAAAAATTATTTTGTCCGACTCGATGGCACCTAACAACAACAACATAGCTATTACATGCGTTAACCCAATAAGGAACCCTGGTAGCACTATGTTGTTGTTAAGTACCATGGAGTCGGTTCCAACTCATAGTGACCCTGCGCAGGATTTCTGAGGCTGTAAATCTTTACGGAAGCAGAACGCCTCATCTTTCTCCCGCGGAACAGCTGGTAGTTTTGAACTGCTGACCTTGAGGTTCGCAGCCCGATTCGTAACCACTACGCTACCAGAGCTCTATAGGTTAGCCATTTGGCTACTAATTGCAAGGTTGATAGTTCAAACCCATCAGCCGCTCTGTGGGAAAAGGTGAGAATTACCATCTCAGAAACCCTATATAACGTTGCTATGGGTTGGAATCAATTCAATGGCAGTGGGTTTTGTTTAGGTTTGGTTACCTAATAGTGGAGTTTATTTTTTAATTACTGCTTACTTCTTTTAGTG